TCGTCAAGATTTTTCACATCCTTGGTCAGCTTTATTCCTAAGTATTTTATATTTTTGGTGGCTATTGTAAATGAGCAAGCTTTCTTGATTTCTTTTTCTGCAGATTCACTGTTCGATCACACAAATGCTAGTGATTTTTTTGTGTGTTGATTTTTTATCCTGAAACTTTGCTGAAATCAATTATCAACTCTAGGAGGTTTTTTTTGTTTTTGTTTTTTTTTGTTTTTTTTTGTCTTTTTTTTTTTTTTTGTTGAGGCTTTAGGCTGTTCAATATATAGGATCATATCACCCACAAAAAGGGACAGGTTGACTTCATCCTCTCCAATCTGGATGCCCTTTATTTCCTTCTCTTTACCGATTGCTCTGGCTAGTATTTCCAACACTATGTTGAACAGGAGTGGTGAGAGTGGTCACCCTTGTCTAGTTCCTGTTCTTAAGGAATAAGCTTTTACCTTTTCCCCATCCAGGATGATATTGGCAGTGGGCTTACCATATATGGCTTTAATTATGTTGAGGTATTTTCCATCTATGCCTAACTTGGAGATAGTCTTTATCATGAAAGGATGTTGAATTTTATCAAATGCCTTTTCAGCATCTATAGAGATTTCAATATGGTTTTTGTCTTTGTTTTCATTGAAGTGGCGTATTACATTTATTGATTTTCATATGCTGAACTAACCTTGCATCCCTGGGATGAATCCCACTTGATCATGGTGAATAATTTTCTGTTTGTGTTGCTGTGTTCTGTTAGCTAGCATTGTATTGAGGATTTTTGCATCTATATTCATCATGGATATTGGCCTGTAGTTTTCTATTTTTGATGCATCTTTGCCTGCTTTTGTTATCAGGGTGACATTTGCCACATAGAATGATTTTGGGAGAATGTCCTCTGTTTCAATCTTTTGGAATAGTTTGTAGAGAATTGGTATCAGTTCCTCTTTGAAGGTTTGGTAGAATTCTGCAGTGAACCCATCTAGTCCTGGGCTTTTCGTTGTTGGAAGCCTTCTGATAACAGCTTCAATATCTTTTATTGTTATCGATCTATTCAGATTTTCTATATCTTCTTGGCTCAGTTTTGGTAG